AGGACGATTTCCATGTTCAATCGAGACAAAAAATATTTATATTCATTATTTTCAAATATACATAAATATATATAATAATGTATTTCATGCTCTCAGTATAATTATTTGATTGCTTTACATAACATTTAAATTATTTCATATAATAATTCTTTTTTTGACTTTTTGTACGAGTATATCTAATTTAACTATTAATGTTTTCGCTTTTAATAAATCTAAAAATAATCTGTTAATTTCCATGTTTTGGTTAACATACTAATTATTAGAAAATGAAAATGTATGTGAGTTAATTGCAATAGCAACGAGGTCGAAATTCGTAACAAAATAACAAAATAATTATTCGCCACATTGTCCACAAATTAATTTGTGAATAATTTCATTATGTGATCAAATAATTTTATTATTTCTATATTTAAATATAGATTTTAAATTTAAATACAATTAATTTTGATTTATTATTTAGCACTCGGTGTTAGTTATTCATTTGCTATGAAAGTGCAATTTTCTGTTGTATATTGTTTCAATATGCCATAACTATAAATATTGTGAAAATTGAGTATAATTTCAAGTTTGCAGATGTAGAATAACGCATTTTATGCATTTATGAAACTTCCTTCGGGCAATAAATTTATCTTATTTCATATAGCCGTTAGACTGCAAAGGATAAATTAATATTTAAATAAATAACAGAGGTGTAAGTGGCATTTTTCCTTAATGCAACTTGTGTTAACTCCCTGGTATTTGTAAATAATCTAATGCCAAACGATTCAGAATGACCTCAGAAAAGCATAATACTTGCTTGCATTTCAAAATAATAAAATTCTCCTTCGGGAAGTAGAAAATAACTCTGCTCACATATAATAACATATGCAAATTTGATCTAATTAAAACCAAGGATTTTCTGCTTCATAATTTATTCAACAAAAAAAAACTCGAAGACGATCATCCCTTGAAATTTGCGTCAGACCTTTGACCTACAGAATCTATTGCTAGCATATTAATAAATAACATGAGTATTATTGGTAGTTCTAAATTTAGTGTCAAGTGAATTTTAATCCATAAAACGATAGCTCATATTCATAGTTTGACGTAGGCTCAACCACGCACAAACATGTAAAAGTTCACTTTATGATATTTTTTTTAGAACTTCTAAAAATATTTCACAATGAATAAGGCATGCATTGATATTCTTGCATAATCGGATTATTCGAAGAAAATAAAAATAAGTCATTCAAAAGTAAATTATTAATTATTGCAAATTATTTACAGCTATAAGTAATTTACATCAAAATGAAAACATTGACTAGGTGTCAGTGCCATTCTATCTTGAAGCATCTTAACAAGTAACTTAGCAGTCGACTTGTTTACAACTCCAAGTGTTTACTTATTTAAGTAACTGTATATCTAAGTGTCAACTCATCCAATTTTGGACCTGCCTGTCTGTCTACCTATTTATCTGTCTACTTGTCTACATGTCTACCTATCTACTTGTCTACCTTTTGTCATATATGCCTGTTTATCTGCGTATCAACAAATAACACATGATGAAAAGGAAGTTCAATAAGATATGACATCGATTTTAGTTTAACCTGAATTAAAGAAAAACAGTGCGCCTAAGATTCACACGCGATTGAAGTAAAACTTATTTGCTACTGTACAAGATGGCATTTAAGTAAAAATAAATACATCATATAACAATTTTGAATAATGTTTATTAGTAACATGGTTACACTCGTGATGCACACATTTATTAGTGTCAACCATTATACACATTTATATAATGATAAATTATAAATTATATATTTATAATAGCATTAAAAATATGTATAATATTCAAAGAACTTCATGTACTTAAAATTAAAATACATTTATTGACTGCTTGAATTTTGTGTTCTACTTTTTCGCTGGCGATATAATCCCATTCTTTGAACAGCTGTAATATCTGTCTTGCCTAAAAAATATTTTCCATTTTAATAACTTCAAAGATTTATAGAAACTACGAATAATATAGCAATAATTTTTAAGAAACAGGGTAAAATATTAAGGAGCAGGGTAAAATATTTTTTTCGATTCGGGCATTTTTTATTGAATCAAGATTTGTACTACAATGTAACTTTAAAATGTTTATTTATCTATACCGATTTCCTTGTTGATATCGGTACGCATACAACGACAGATCTCTATTCACATACTCGACGACTAATCACAATCGACCCGTATAGAAATGATATCATCGAGAACGAATGACGAATCATTGGCACTCGACTCTTATCTTATCTGCCGTAACGCACTTCCGTTGCATTTGCACGTATTCACACCCTAGCCGCGCCTAAAGAAGTTTTACTTCAAAAATCAAAATATTTCAAAGAATATCCAAAGATTTAACTACATTTTCTAAAAAAAACCTTATGGGTGAGGGAGAGGGGTATTTTGAAAATCAACACAAATTACCAAGAGGGACAGAAGAGTATAAAACTCCTTAAGAATCGATCACGTGATTAATGGACGTCACTCTACTTGTCTCAGGATACATCTTTGCGTTTTTTGTCTTTTCTATCAGTTCACCTATCTACCTGCTTACCTGTCTAATATAAGAATGCATTCATTGTGCTTCCTAATTCTCTAAATAAAATTCATTATCTTCTTCCCATGGTAAAATCGTATAAATATGCAATAGCTGATATCTAATCCATATCATTCTGCAGTGGTGCATTCGGATTGCTGGATAGTGGAATGGACTAATTGGATAAATAAATCCAATTATTTTTATCGGGTCGATGCAGCGACACGCCGTGCATAAAGCGGAAAGAGCGCATTTCACAATAGACTATTAAAATCGTTCGATCTGGTGATAATGATGACGTCAAAATTAAACCGAAATGCATAATGCATCATCATCACATAATGCAATTAGAAGTGGAATTAAATGTAATTTGATTAACGTATCTAACTTGAAAGTCTTCCTTATAATTTACAATTGTAGTTGGACGACGTCTTGCAAATGGTAGTTGTATGTAGCGTTTTGCTTAAGGAAAGTTGCATGAACTACTATGGGTTAAAACAAGGACGAAATATTTTATACATTTCTGCTAATTAAGTAGAAACGGCATGGCGGATCGTCGCACAAAATTGATAAACGCTGATTCTAGTCAAATCTTACATCGAGTGGCTTTTAAATTTTTGAAATTGGTCTATCCGGCCTTGAGAAAACGTCGAGAAAAGGTCAAAATAATGGCCCAAAAAATCTTCCAATCTCCAAATTTGGTCTCAATCGATACAGAATAACTTGAAACGTCGAGAAATATAATATTAACAAATCGGATTTTCTGACCAAAGATTAATTGTTTACACATTTGAATTTTTAAACGCTGTCCTTTTAAATATATTAAAATGGTTTCTTACAAGCAGTTTTATACTGAAAGAACTATAAAAACACATTTACCATCGTGTATAACGCAATTCTTTATCGTTATTTTTTTATTCTCTAGTAACACTATCTGGGAATTGACCCTATTTCCGTTTGCCTACTAACATTGGTACCTACTTCCGAGATAATTTCATTAAATATTTACAACTAACACGCATTTTGGTCATACCAACGAATAATATATATACAATATATATATAGGCCATACATGCGGGAACAAAATTTTGCGTGTCTGAATATACCTTAATCAATTCTAAATGGAGTGCGTGAGTCCAAAGTGACCAGAGATAGGTAAATCCATTTAATTTAGGGGTTTTGTACCGAAAGTTTTCTTTTAATTATTTAATAATTAGTAATTATCTAGAAACTTCTTATTACTTATTCGGCATTTTTTTTAAATAGCCGCTTGATGCATATGTGCATTCAAATATTAAGTAAATCCAAATGCTTTTTTTAACTTCCCGTAGGGTAAGTTATAGTATTCGCCAAAAAATCGAAATTGATAATTTTTATATATTTTCACGTTTGAAAGGTTTCTGAACATTTTGGCACCTTAGAAACTAGGATGTGTGTGTTTGTAGGTGCGGATACAAATTTAAAAACGGAGTCAAAATGAGTCAAAAATGGTAATTCAGAAAAATTCAAAGTTTAAAAGATATTTCGAAATATAAAAAAACTCAATTTTTTAAAAAAGTCATTTTTTTTCAAAAATTTTAAAATTCTTAAAAATTTCATTTTTGCAAAGTTCTCAAAATATGGTCTGCCAAGTTTCAGCACTTTGCCTGAAAGCACGATGCCATGCTCCACTATTTTTTTTTTTTTAATTTCATATAATTACAATCTGCCTAGTAATTTTGGAGACAGATTTTAGGTTTAAAAATGGATGAAATAAAATTACAGAACTGTAATAATAACTTTACATTATATGTTATTTTCTAAACCTAGAGGTTTAGTTTTTTTTGAGTCTTCTCTGTATATTTGATGAGAGCAAGTCTTTGGCGAGTTGGTTCGGAGGATCTTCTAGTAATATGAATGCATTATGATTTCTTCTGTTATCGAAAACATATTGGAGTCCTGATGAATCAGCCAATTTGGGACATACTTGGGTGCCTTTAGTGTTTTTTTTTTAATAATTCTATTTTGTGACCTTTGCAAAATGTTTATGCTGGTTTGGCTAGCGCTACCCCAAAGCGAAATGCCGTACGTCCATATTGGTTTTAAGTCTACCAAGTCAAAAAATATTTTGAAATTCTTTTTCTTACCTAATATTCTGAAATGAAACTAGCCCCTTCACAATATTTTTGTGATATTTATATATATCTCCATATGATAATCAATATGTTGCGTTCTAAAAAAAACTCTTATTTTTACTTACCATCAAGTTAGCCATCACAATATCTCCCGATTAATCTAGGATCTGCATCTAGTTTGCTAATTCAATCATATATTACAAGCTTGCACCACAATCTACCTAAAAGATTATGCATCATGGCCTCCATCAATGTGTGACTAAAACTAATCCTATGACCTTAGGCCAAAGTGGAGTGTTTGTAATCGCTTAATCATTTCCGGGAAAATGAGCAATCTGGCTCATAACACCGGAAAGCCTTCCGGAAAACTGGAAATAGGTAACACTATACAATGTGTATATATATATATATATATATATATATATATATATATATATATATATATATATATATATATATATATATATATACAGGGTGGCTGATATGTATTGCAACCAATTTCAGACCGCTATCATTTCTAAACCTCTCATCAAACAGATGACAGATTTATTCCAGTGATTGTTTATTTAATTGTTTACAAGCGTACAAAAGCATTTTGATCTATTGCATTCAGAAAAAAAGTTATTCGTGATGGAAGTCAAGCGTGGTAGTGCGATTGCTTCATACTTGGCTGAAAAACCTTAGGTGGCTATATTTCGAGCCCTCCAGTATTTAAATGCGAACAAATATTTTGTTTCTCGTACCATATCTCGTAACCGTGCAACGGTGTTGCACCGCGTCCAAAAAGTGGACGAAAAAAAACACTAACAACCCCAGAAATGATCCAAAAAGTATAGGCAAAAATCAATCGAAATTCGTGTCGCAGTGGTAAAAAAATGGCCCGTGAGCTGAACATATCGCTAAAACGGATGCAACACATATATTGAAAAATGAACTTGAACTAAAACCATTGAAGATCCAAAAAGTGCAAGAGCTCATTGATGCACGAAAAAAAGTTAGACGGAAAGAAGCGAAGGGGTTGCTTCGCTTGCACGAAAGTGGCTAGTTACCGAATTTGGTTTTCTCAGATGGGAAGTCCTTCCAAATCGAGCAGTTTGTGAACAAACAAAATGATAGGGTTTACTTGCCAAAAAGGTCAGCTAAAAATTTACACCTTCGATTGGCCACCAGAACTCGAGCGCCGCCGACGGTAATGGTGTGAACCGCCGTAACGGCCGATGGTGACATTCCACTCTTATTCATCGACCGTGGGATCAAAATAATTGCCAAAATTATCGGGAAAATGTTTTTAAAAGCAGTATTGAAGTCCTGGGTAGACAAAAATTTTGATCGCAGACCATGGTCATTCCAACAGGACTCAGCACCATCAA